CTGGAGCAAGCGCGGCGTTTTCGAACTGCAACCGTCTTGGCCCACCTCAGCCCGCCCCTCAAGCCAAGAACACCTGAACAAGGCGCAGTATCTACGAATTTTCCTTCAGAGCCAGTGCCAACCCACCCGTCCTTCCTTCACTTTGCTCCTGAAACCTTTTGGGCCAGAGCAGCTCATCCTTCAAATCCCAACGGCTCTCCCGATCTTTGGCGTGACGCCGGGACGATCAGCCCCCCTCACCATTGCACTTGCATGTGAAAAGGATGCTGCCACAGTGTCCAACGCTGCGGCCCCCTATGTTAACCCGGACCCTCCCCGGGAAGTGCCTTCAAGCAGCGACGAAGTGCCACAACCGGACATAAGCGTCCAAGTCTTGCAGCCAACCAGCGTTGCCCGTGGCGAGGTGCTGCAAACAGCTCCCACAGACCCAGGTGGCTTCCTGTCGGAAAAGGATTTGTTTTGTAATCTTTTTTTGATCTATTCCCTTCCAAATCTCAAGTTCACAAAATCGTGTGTTTTACAAGCCAAATGCAATGAAACCATGATGGTGCAGAAACTTGTCCTTCAGCCGGTAGGGCACCATAATACGCTGCACGTAAACATTGCGAAGCAGCTCGGCACTCCTACAGCAGCAGCAAACTCCTTGTCGCGGCCGAAGGTCGCAAACATTCCAAGCCGGCGGCGAGCAGCGCCACAAACCTTTCTGACTTGCAACCGGGACCACCGCTGGTGGCTCGACGAAGACAACCGAAAGAGCCGCAGGCCTCCAGAGGCAGGCGTGACATAGAGTTCCATGACGCATTGCAAATCATGAAGGAAAAGCAGATATCCAATTAGATAAAAGAGTGTCAGGATTATGTACGCATATATACATAGATAAAAATATACAATCATATATTTACATGCATGCATGCATGCATGCATGCATACATACATACATACATACATACATCCAGACATACATAGATACATACATACATACATCCATACATACATAGATGCAAATAGATCCCCAGCAAGCCGGTCGGCGGTAGTTTCCAGTTGTAAGTAAGAAACATACTGCTATAGGATTCCAAAAAAATGTTTTTCCTATAGGAGCTATGAAAGGCTTCCATCATCGTTCCGAAACTTCTGAATTCTTGTTTCAGATTTTGTGACCATTCTTCCGCGTTCCTGTCATCTGTTTCTTCTCATTTCAAGTCTTGTCCACTGGTGTTGAACGAATTAGCATCACTCGCACCTGTGCAAATTTCTCAACCCAGTCGAAGTGACTCAGTTGCAAACTTTCTTCTTCAAATGAATTGCTTATTTTTTCTTTCGGTTATCATCTTCGTGTCATGTCCAAGCATTGAAGGTATTAAAGGAGTACTTAAAGATTCAACCTTCAAGCAGGCGATTGCAGCTGCTCTTTTTGCGAACCTGCATCGAACAAATCTGCTGCCAAAGCACCACAACTCGGAGTTTCTTCTATGAAAATTCCTTTGACAAATATACATACATGCATGCATACATGCATATACATATATAGATATAAAAACCTAAAATACATGTACACATATATGGAAATACTATATATATATATATATCTCTCTCTCTGGCCATACGTGATTAATCCGAAAAAAACAGATAAACCACAGGTCTCCCAAGCCAAAAGCCCCGTCAGATGCCTCTGCTGCCTTCGAAGAAGGCTTGGCCCTGGGGCCTGGTTCTGATTAGGAAACGCTGATGGAACCTGGTCGGGGTCTTCTCGTCGCACTACCACAGGACCAGCGGCTACAGTACCAGCTCCTGGCACCCAGTTTTGGCATAAATTTACCCAAAGGAAAGAACCTGCATTCTGCACAGCTTGTCTCTGAAAGGCACAAAATTCGATCAAAAGAAAGAACAAAGCAGTGCAGCATGCAATGTCTAAGAAAGAACAGCAATACATCCGCCCAATCTAAAACCGATCGACCCACAAAACCCATCGAAAAGCCAGCCGGCTGATGAATTTCGTGTTGGCAATATTCAGATCATGGTTCAACAAAAGCCAGACTGCCACGCTAAAACTTCCGCTTGCTCAAAGCATATTCATGTCCGTCTGACTGGTATGTTTCATGTCGGATACTCTAAGATTACTCACATCACTGAACCCGGAAAAGCTACAGAGCCACAAAAAAAAAGATTTACAGAATGGGTCTGGAGTCTACTGTTCATCATCTTTGGACACAAACCGTTTACGCTTATAAAATCAGAAGATGTACGCTGACCAATGCTCAACAGGTCCCTCCCAAGAAATAAGAAATGTAGCGCGCTGCCTGTTGAGGGCGCTTCCTAGAAGCCCGCCGCGCCGGTGCTGGAGGCGGCGCCGGCGCCGGTGCTTCCTCAGGGCTGTGAAAGAGCAACCGAGCGTAGTAAACATGAAGCCAAACACCTACAAAGTGGTACCCCATAGTTGGCTAAGTTTGTTTTTAACTCCAATAACTATGGTTGATGATTGATATATCTATACTTATGTGGTTTACCAGTAGTACCGCCCCCGATGAAGTTGCCCACGTGCCCGTATAACTGGATTTCTTGACGTTATTTTATAATGATTTTAGATCAAATACGCCACCATTTTTTTTGTAAACCAGCCCAAATATAATATATTACATAGATATTTACTGCATTTTTTTTTTAATCGGGTATCAAAAAAAACTATATCATGTGGTATAGCAAAAATAACTGCATGTGCCAAGAGACAAGCTCGGGAGGAGGCTGACGAAGAAACAACTCTCCTACTGGAAGCCTTGGGCAAGGCAAGGACCGCGGAACGCACCAGCGGTTCCGCGTGCGCCCATCCACTCCAAATGCCTTGTAATGGCATTCAAGACAGAGGTTCCAGTACTTCAAGGCGCCGTGAAGACGCCACTTGAAGCCTTCTTCCTCCTGACACAGACGACTGAAGCGAGGAACAAAGCTGCAAGACCAATAAAAATGCAAATTGGCATCATGGTTTTGTTAGTTAACAAATTAGCATACCACTATGAAAAGATGGTTTCCCATCCGATCCTTCCAGGCATTTCCGAGCTCTTGGGACCGCAGCGAAGTCAACCATCTTCCGCAGAAGCACTTTGGCCCCCCGCTTCCCACCATGATGTCAGAAATGAACCCGCAAGAATATCCTAGCGAATCGGTTTTCACAAAGTTTAATATGAGAGGTTAAACCGACATGAGAACTGGTACAAAATAGCTTCTGGAACGTTGCCAAACGGTAATGAACGAGATAACTAAAACCCTTGTCTAAAGCACGTGAAAAATCTATGAAGTCCGTGTTGCCTGTCATACGGATTGAACCGAGACTTGCAGCTCGGCAATGAATGGATTCTGGACTGTTGCAGAAATTTCCGAAAATTGTTTTTTTTCGGCTAACCTCAAATAACATGGTAACCTTTCTTCTAACCTCAATATTGCCTTCACCTCAAAATTCTGCTAACCTTTTCAGAAGCCTAATCCAGGGTCTATACATTCACCTGCTGTTGTTTCAAGGTGCCCATACTTCAAAAAGATTCTACCACCCATTTAACTTCACTGAAAACAAAGCTGGCTACCTCGCATTCTTTTTTTAACCCTGCTGCGCTGCAGCATCCAAGGATTCTCTGCGCACCTGAGACATGCGACCAAATCGGGTAAAAGGCATCTAACAATGCATCTAACGACAAAGACAGAAAAAGATTTGCAGGACCACCGAAACTCACTTCTTTCCAGTTGACCTACAAAGAAAGAGGAACAGCAAAAGTGAACCTTCTTCGTCGCTGAAGCTGCACCTGACCTGCAAACAATTCACTGATAACTGATATGCATCTGAAAAAAACCTTCGCAACAAGAGGTACAAGTAAGCAAAGCACTTTGCCATTACAGAGTCTGCAGCGCTAGAGACTGAGAACGTGACGCGACGACCGAAGCGTTTGAAAAACGTCAAAATCCTTACAAGACATGAATCATTCACGACCACAGACAAAGCACAAAAAGACAGCAAAGACCTGAGAAAAAACAATGATCACAAAAGAAACTGAGCAAACGACTGGTGACAGGACTTATGCCCTTAACTTTGAAGGCTGCCTCTCAAAGATCGCAAGACTTTTTTTGCTCAGTAATCTATTTCAAAAAAATATCTATATATTTAGAATTGCATATACATAGATTTACATATATATTTATATATTATTTATACACTTAGATGAATAGATAAACAGATATTTTTTATATAGAAAGATACATAAACAGGCAACTAGATAGGTAGCTAAATAGATAGATAACTCAATACATAGATGGCTAGAGAGACAGATAAATAGATAAATGAAAATAGATTGATTTTTTTGCATACCTTGATGAATCCACGAGGTTGATTGGTTCATTGATCTATGAAGAATTGAAGACATTTGAGCAGCCTGCGAAAAAGGAAACACATCAGCACCGGCCTCCGGCCAATTGGACCTGCACCGTACAGCACCAAAATGCTTAAGAAAAAAGGCTACAAGAACAAGCCGGCGTCTGTGGGCACACCTGCTGCAAAAACTCGGCCCGATGCTCCGGCAAGTCCAAGACCTCAGTACCGAACAACAGAACACACAAAGAGCAACAGACACCAAAAAAAAGAAACAGACAAACACAAGAACACGTGCACTGCTGCAGGAAGGCAAACGCACTCAGGACAGCACATTCCGGTACCTCATCTTGTTGGCCCACGCAACATCTTCCGCCGTAACCCGAAAGTCCTTGGCAACAACTACCAAAAAAAACGGAAAAAAAAGAACAAGCCACAGTCAGAACAACGAAACGCACTGCACCAACAAGTTGAACGCCATAAACAACTGGATACCTGAAATGTACACCAGGGGTGCAGACCCTTGAAGCATCATGGGGCCTTGCGCAACCCACCAAGCATGCAAATGTTCCAGAAGGTCTCGCCCATACCTGCGAACTGCTTTGTCGGGAATCATCCATGTAACTGGAACAACCTGTTGCGGAACACCGGCCTCCGGAATCACAACCTGTGGTGGAGGAGCTGGAACTTGATCCGCTGCTGCCATTCTGCAAGTCCGGAGTAAAACCTGCAAAATCGCAACATGCATGGCGCGATGAAGATTCACCGCCTTGACCAAGCCTGTCCATGCCACCCAGAAATCGGCGGATCGCCTCTGATTGATGTCCTCAGCAGCCCGATCTGTCAAGTTGTTATGCCAGTATGCCCATTCCTCTAATGGCCCTGTGGCCAGCGCAACCTGTCCATGGGACACCACTTTGAATACCTTGACCAAGGAACTGCCATGGCCTGCAAGAAGATCCTGTAGGAACATCCAAAGGTCTGAATGCGGCCTGTTCCGCTTGAGCGGTCGCTTCTGCAACAACTTCTGAACTCCCTTAACCACTCCTTGGCAGTCGCTCCACAAGTGTACCAACTGTCCACGTTGCACTGCCCACCTGACTGCACAAACCATTGCTGTAAGTTCAGCCCGAAAAGGGGACTGACACAATCCCACCACGTGGCCTCCCATGAGAACCCTGTTGTCCAGCGTCCCTGGCCCTCCTGGGACCACAGTCACTGCCCATGCTGCATAGCGCAATTTCGGCTCTTTTGGATGAGCCGTTGTACCATCCAAAAACAGCGTAACAGGTTCAGGGGTACCCAAAGTTGGGGGGATTACTGGTGACATCCTACAAAATCCATCGTCCGAGAGAAGAAACCTGGCAAAGACATCCCACTCCGGTAGAACAACAGGCCAGCCATGATTCCGAAGACACGAAGGAAGCGTGGGTACCATTTCCAACTGGGCAGGGGTCAGGTGGTCCCGACATGCTGCGAAGTGTGGGCAAATCCAGGCCCGGTGGTGGAAGCCGTCTTTCAAGGGACACCAAGGACACTTGGATGTAACACCCGGGGCAAACTTGGCACGACCGTTCTGTGTGAACAAAGTTCCATCCAAGTGACAGCGCAGGTAAACCTGATCAACAGGACCAAAACCCTTCAGGGCATGCTGCAGCTCAGTCAGGTCGGCGTTTTCAATGCCAGCAAACGTACTGCGATGAGCAACTGCCTGAGACAAAACATGACCCCACGCAAGCTTGATGCGGAGAAACAGCTCATCCCAGCCCACAGACAGCAAACTGAAACACCCGAACCGATCTTGGACCAAGCCATGACCGCCAATTCCCCACCCCAATCGAGTCAACCTGGAAAACAGGACGGCCGTGGGCCCATTGGATGGTAAACCATGGTCTGGCTGTGCAAACAGACCAAGAAGGGATTCCAGCTTCGAGTAGTCACCAAGATCACGGGCATCACGCACAGTTTGTACCACTGCCCAGGCCTCAGGGTCTGTGAGCAGAGATGAGGTGGCCAAATGCAAGGTTGGATTGGCCCCTTTTCGGTCAGATTTCAGTGCCCGCATCGCGCCAGACCGCAGGGTGCGGAAATGGCCATCACCCAAGTGCACAACTGAAATCCCATGTAAGGCTCTAGGCCAAGCCATCATGTGGATAGCAGAGATCTTGTGATTGTAAGGACCTTGGCTGGCCCGCAGCCGAACCCAAATTTTGGGCATGCCCTCCAGGCGTTTCTGAACCTCCGCATTATGGCAGTGACGGCTGAAGTTCTGATGGGCACCCAGGTTCCGTTGCGACAGGGTAACCTCAAGGGGACCTTCACGGAATTGTTTCCTTGCATCGGCATGGGTGGACCAGATCCTGGTTTTGGTAAGGTCAAGAGCCAAGTCCATTTGCTCTGTGAAGGCCTCAACAGAAGTCCAAACACGGTGGAAGACACCAGCATCAGGAAAAAGCAGACCCCAGTCATCAACGAACGTACGCAAACAGACCTTCACATCCAGGGCAGAAATCCACAGGTCAAGCACCCAATCGACAACGACCATCCCGAAAACCGACAAGGCACAACCTTCAGGAAGTCCACAGGTAGACCTCAAGGGTTCCCCAACCGACCGCCGCACCCGAAAACGTCTGGTTTGGAGAGTAACAAAGTTAACCCACGCCCGCAAGGTAGGCTCAGGAAAGCAGAGTCCATTCAGGGCATGCCACAAGGGGTGGCGGGGCAAAATTGTTAAAGGCCTTTTGGATGTCCATCAAGACTCCATGAAGCTCAGTGCCCTGCATGTATGCCACTTCAAGTGCAGATGCCAATTCATACCAAATTGTTTTGGCTTGACGAGCCGGCACACCCCCTTGCACACTAGCAGGAAGAACGGCAGCAATAGATCGCAACGCCTCACGGGCCCGCTCAGCGGACCATACCCTGTACAGAAGGCTGTAAACCACAACAGGCCTAAACTGGTCAACTTGTTGTGCATCAGGTCTTTTGGCAAGGCTCGTGACAAATCCATTGGCCAATTGGGCAGGCCATGCTTTGCCTGATTCAACCTGCTCAAGGAGCTGGACAAGCACTCCGACTGCTGTTGGAGGGAGACTTGCCAAGTCAGGTTGAGAAACACCATCTGGCCCCTTGGCTGCCTTGGATTTCTTTTGACGAATGGCCATGGTGAGCGTGTCCAGTGTCCAGGGTTTATGTTCCCATGGGATTGGGTGAAGAACCCGGTCGAGAAATCCACAAATTTGAGTCCACTGCCCTGGTTGGACATGAGACTGCTTCACCCATCGAGGACCCCAGGCTTCAGCAAACCTCTGCAAGATGGCCGTGTCAGAAGTGACTGGTCTTTCTTGGGAGAGAACCGAGCCAGCACAAAGTCCATCCGTAGATTCAAGCCAGACCTGATCTTCATGATGAGCAACAACCTGGACAACCTTGCCTTCAGAAACCAACGGCAGAGAGTCAAGGAAGGACGCAGACTGCGTAAGGACCACGGAGGAGTCGTCTTCCCTGACTTCTTCAACATGCACCTCAACCCGATCGATCAAGGTGTCAGCTTTGGGCAAGGGATCATCTTTGCAGTCCTGGAAGACAAAAGCTAAGTTGTTGGCCCTCCGATGTTTGGCGTGTTGATACCTTTGGCGAGCCAGATCTCTTTCATAGACCTGAACAAAACTCTGAAACCCAAGGAAGAGGCCCTGGAGAAAGTCCAATGGAGGGCAGATCAACGGCAAGGGAGCAACAAGGGCAGGAACCAAGCCATGCACATTCCACCACAGTCCAAAACCTCCCGGGAATCCAACAGCCCGCCGGATAGCCCGCCAAGTCTCATCCCGGTTGCACCGTCCTGCCAAGCTGGTAGGCCCCCTCTGCAGCGCCCTGCACAGCGACTGAAGACGACGAAGTTGCCGAAAGTAACGAGCATGCTCAAGGCTGGTGCCCATGTAGGTTGGCTGAACATCACCCTTTCGGGCCTTCTTAACAGGACAACATGGTTCACGTGTGGTGGTGGTTTCAAGCACTGCCGCCCTGCCACATTGCTTCTTGGTCACAAAAACTCCATGATGCTGGTTCCAACATTTAGCCTGAGTCTCAACTTGACACCAAAATTTTGCATATTCCTCAGTGAGGTTGCCAGTGGGATCGAAATTGACCTGACAAGTCCACTCCTTAGGCCAGGGAAAAGGACGAGGGACAGCCCACGAGGTCACCACAGAAGACAGGTCAGGACCAGAGAAGGACGCACACACCGCAGCATGGTCAGCCCAGTGATCAAAGGAGACCTGAACACCCTGGAAGGCCATCTGCAACTCAGGAGAAATCCACATTTGATCAATTCGACGAGAACCCCTTCCAGTGGCCTGGGCGGAAATTCCATAGCGCCAAGCTGCAAGGTCTTGCACCTCACGAAATCCAAGTGCATGGAGGCGATCCAACTGCTGAAGCTCCGACGGGCCAAAGTTAAAGTCACCCCCTATGACCCGGGGTCCCGTGGTCTGACACCCAACCCGGTCCACCAATTCAGCCAAGAAAGCATCAGTCTGATACCTAGCTTGGTTATGATGGGCATTTTCAGGAATTCCATACAGAAGCCCAATGGTGACCCAAGTCTCGGCTACTGACATACCCACAACCTGGATGCGAGCAGAGTCATAGACCGCCTTGTCAAACGTGTGAGGCAAGGCACGGGCAGGGTACTTTGACAGGAACATGACTCCAGTATGCGTGCCAGTGTCAGTGCGCTGACGGGCTGGACTTGGAGCTCCTGGGACAACAGACTTCCATGGACTGCGCAGCATCTTCAAACCCTTGACAAAGGAAGAGATACCCTGCTGGGAAAGCTGGGTTTCCGACAAAATCCAAGAGTCCCCTTCCAAGTGGTTGATTTGATCCAACTTTCCATTGAGCCCAGAAGGATTGGCAATGCCCAAAGTCCAAGTAGACACGGTCTGAGGGCCTGGATGAGAAGCTTCGCCCACCCTGACCAATGACAAGAGCAAAATCGTGAAACACCACCGCCATGCTGTACACCAAGATCCCGAGGGGGAACTCCCTGTCCTCCTCCGGCTGGCAGTGCGACAAAAAGGTGAAAACAAACCATCTGGCGGCATCTGAGCACGCTTAGGACGGCCAAAACAAAACTGTGGGAAGTAAGGCAACTGCCCGAAGAGTCTCCCTGACAAAGATCCAGTGCCCCAGGGGGAACAGTTTGCTCATCACACAATCCACTGCCAGTGCATAAGCAGGGTGGGCTACTGGAACACACATGAAAACCATAGATAGGCTCATTGAGGCCAATTTGAAACCTTCGTTTCTTTGCACCGGCACCTTTAGGAGGGCGATCATCGGGATCACCAGTTGGCTCTTCACGATGACCAGAGGCCAAGTGTCCAAGGGTCAGTGTCCACACCCCCCCAAAACTGACAAAGTGGCCGGAAATCCAAGAGGCCAAGGGCCAGAGAAGTCCACCGGGGCCCACACACCAAGAGTCCTGAGGAAGTCCAATGGCCCCATCACCCAGCCAATCCACTACAAGTCCAAGACCACTTCCAGGAAGCAGACCACCGAGCCAAAGGAGCACACAGACCACAAAGCCATAGAAGGCCACAGTCGAACCACTCCAAGAAAAGGGCTCACATGGACCCCATGCTGAGGCACAGCCAAGAGAGCGACAAGAAGACCCACTCCTCATCGACACCGAAGCTCCAATTACATGTCCAGCATGCCCGCACACCAAAGGAATCTCACTGAGAAGACCTGCCAAAATCCAAAGGACCAGAGGCACAAGCCAGACAACATCATCAAGGATCGAAAAGACCCAGCACTGGACCGGTAAGGAAAGTCCAAGCATGCCTTCCGCTGCAAGTCCAAAAGGCGCTGAGGAGCTGGTACCGCACCACAAGGCAAACAGACCCACACTCATTGTCAAAACCATGACAAGACCACCAAAAACCCAATCCCAATTACCTGTGGTAGTCAACCAGGCAACTGGGCACCTTCATTCCTGTCGAGGACGTTTGGCCAAAAGCGTCTCGAATTGGTTCATCTGCTTGTTGAACATGTTGTCCAACATCGTCTGCTGGTGCGAGACCTGTTGTCTGAACTGTTCCTGAAAGGCATCTTGGAAGGTCTGGATTGTTGCGGCTTGGTTGGAGATCGCCGCCTCAAACTGGGTGCCCTGCTGGTGGACCTGGGTCCGGATCTCCTGAAATTGCTTGGCATTGTCACTGGCCTGTTGCTGAGAGGCAGCCACAAGGGTTTGGGCTTGGCCCGCTAGCTCTTGGACCTGTTGCTCAAGACGGGTCACACGCCCATCCACTGCATCGTCAGCATCAACCTCCATCTGGTGTCGGGGCATCTGGGCCATTACCTCAGCGAGCACCTTCTGAGTCACATCTTCCAGGGGATTTCCTATTTGAAAGGCCTGAGCTTTGGCTGGAAGCTTGCTGGCTGCCTTCGCCCATGGATCATGCTTTTGGATGTAGTCCACCTCACATGCCTTGGACACAAAGGACTCCGTGGCGGTTGTGGCTACGACCTTAGGTTCAACCCTGGTCGGCTGAGTCGGATCATCCTCTCTGGCAATCATGACATCACCATGGGCCATACGCAAGACTTTCATCGGTGGGTCCTGGACCGACTGGACACGGAACATAAGACCTTGGACATGTGACTTGGCGGCAACTGCTTGGATAGGCTTGGCTGTCCAGCCCGAAGACAAAAGAGCCTGGGCAACGGATGCTTGGAGAGTGCCGAATGCAAATGGTCCTACCAGGTACGTCTGACGCCTGCCAGGGGGAAGAAAGGTGTGCCCCGGTCGGAGCTTGACGAACACCTCAGCAGCATGCTCTGTAAGGCAACGAAGACCATACTTGTTCCCCAGCCGAGCCATGCCTACCACATGAGGGATAGTTTGGCGTTGGACCATCAGTTGGGACACATCAAGCTTTGGGACCCAGACCACCTGGAATTCTGGTGACGGTTTCCGACCATCCAGTGCTTTCGGCTCAAGGTACACTCCACTATGCCCCGAAAACTGTTGCACCTGCAATTGGAGTTGCTCAGGCAGGCGGATGTGTGCAGAGAACATCTCTGCCTTTTCAGGTGGGCAATGTGCAAAGTCCATACGAAGCCACTGCTTTCCCCACAACTCAAGTACCGGGGTGTCCATCGGCAGACTGGGAGTACGATGCCATGCCTCACAGCCTCCACATTCAACATCCGAACAGGCTTGAAGTGGTGGGATAAGTCCAAACACATGTTGCAACGGATGGGCAACCACCTGGGACCAGTCAACAGGGGTCTCATCCCGAAAAACCATAGCCTTCACCACGCAAGTTGGGATGGAACGAACTTCACACCCGACCTGAGCTGGAGCACGGATCACCTTTCTGGCACCTAGCTGAATCAGGTGGCCGTCGACAAGGAGTGGCTCGGAGTTTGCAGCACAAACCAAGGGGACCCGCTCAGCAGAGACAGGAAAGGAGGTGTTGAATACACCATCAGAATCCACCACAAAGAAAGCCAAGGGACCAGTCGACACGACATGAGGGGCACGCAAATAGGGTTCAACACAGTTGGCCGACAACACAACCACCCCAGCAGCAGAAGATCCAACCTGTGGCAAAGTCAATTGACCCAGTAGCTGACCCTCATCACTCTGAAAGATGCCATGCTCCAAACGCAGCAAAGTTGGGTCAACGCTGTTCCCTGGCCGATCTCCCTTCCCTTTGCCCTTAGGCTGCTTGTGACGCTTGTTTCCAACCGGTTTGTCAGCTGCCCTCTTCTCAACCTGGGCCTGCAACTCTGAAGGCTTGATCAACATATAGGGGGGACGCAACTGATTGCCCAACCATTTGAGTTCTTTCCAGGGATTACCCGCATCCAAAGCTCGAGTGACCCCTTCTTCCCCAAGTGCTTTCAAAACCAAGGTTGCCCGGGCCAGTGAGTCCACATCTGCAACTCCATGCTGAACAAGCAACTGAGCCAAACGGGTTTGAACATTGACACCAAGACCAGCCAACCGTGGACGCTGACATGGCTCTGGAAGCCCATCTGAGAATTCAAATCTGACCTGCGCAGCAAAGGCAGAGAGAGCAGCTTGATCCAGAACAAGGGGGTGACCCCACAAGACATGCCGGATGAATGAGAGTACCATGGCACCACAATGACCCTCAGGGACAAAACCTGTGCTGTGAGATTTCCAGACCCCCATGGCCCCACCCCGAAAAAGTCCAATGACCTTGGAAAGGGATTCCATGACAGGTTCATAGGGCGGATTGACCGACAAAGTGTGCAACACAACCCCAACCAGATCAATTCTCCAAATCAGGGGGATCCAATGGTGTCCAACCAAAACCGCAGATATGACCGTGGAGATAGGTCCCAACTCCAAAACAAGAGACTTCCACGTTGCAGGGGTATCACACTGCACAAGCCCAGTGATTAACAGTGGATCCCAAACATGCACTTGTTGATCCGACTCAGTGAGCACTGCAATTTGCAACAAGCCATGCATGATTTCATCATCACCCCAAACTGGCCCTTGCATGCCCAACAGGTTCTGTCGCTCAATGCGCTTCATATCTGGCCACCTAAGATCGGCAAGCTGATCTCGTCCAGTGACAGACCCTACAGGCAGATCAACACCTGACGGCAAGGCTTGCTGTACAACCTCAGTGCTGTCAAAACAACATGGCAAATACTGATCTGCTTTGAGCTGAGCTGGATCCCATGAAGGAGAGACCACAGAGACCAATGCTCCATCGTGCAAAGGTTTGGCAGGGTCACACGGAAGTCCATCAACCCTCGACTGAGAACCTGGGACAGCTGAACCAAGAGAAACCTCAGCGGCCAAAAGCTGGGCACCAGTAGCAGACGAGGCAACACGGCAGGACAAATCGGGCTCATCTGTACACGGATGTGTGATCACACAAGTGATCGATGCTTCAACATCATCTTCAATCGGATCTGGCACAGCTTCAGCAGCGGATGCATCAGCGGATGCTTCAATGACCGTCGGTGCAACCGGAAGTGGCCACATTTCCCTACAGCTGGCAGTCACCTCAGTCATGTATGCCTTGAGCTCTTGCATGGGGTCACATGGTGAAGAAGATTCCATGGTCAAGTCCAAACATCTTTTCACATGGGCAAAAATCCAAAGCCCCATCAACGGTGCAACTGCCTGCCCCACCCCAGCCATGGCTAAACGGAGGTTGTGTCCCATGGAAACCGTTGGCATGCCTCCAAGGAGGGCCCACATCTCAAGGGGGTGCAGATACCGTGCATGCTCCATACATGTGTGCATGTGAACCTGGGAAGTGCCAAGCTTCAGCAAAGTGCCAATCAATCCACGTTGTTGGAGACGGGTCTCACTCAGGGCAGCCCTACAACCACATGCACATGTGTACAACTGATTGCCAGCACTGTGGAGGAGCGTGGGAAGTTTTTCATCCATCTTGATCCACACTGCGTTCATGCCCCCAGCTGCGTACTGATAGTACTTGGACAGCTCATAGAGATTCAAGGTGAGCTGAGCCTGCTCAAACTGATGCCAAATGCGAAACTCTGGGATCAAGTCAGCGACAACCCGAATGGAGTCAAGAACAGGCAAATCCACGATCTCACACGGATGAACCACAGGGGCAGTAAGCACGGCAATCCATCTGTCACGGCGACTGCACCAAGCATTGCCAAGCTTCACAATGCCCTGAGCCATACGGTATCCTGTGTCAATGGCGTACTGCCTGAGCATCTCTTGGGCAGCAGGGTCTCTCAAGATCTCAGGTGTGCATTCCAAGATCAACACCGCAGCTTGCATCATCCAAGACACCACCAAAGTTTTGGGGAGGCTATCAGAACGTGGGTCATTCATCCCTCTTCTGTCACCCAAGATCGAGTGAGGCTGGCAGGCAATTCCAGAACACACCACCCCATGAAAGGCCCCAAGTTGAAGCAGCTGCTGCAACACAAAAGGATCAGTCAGGTCACCTGGGATGAAGGATGCCGATGGATGAAAGGACTCGAACAACTTGCGCCACAACGGGTTCTGATCAACGCCAGCCCGAACCCCAAAACCAAGACGCTCAGCAGCGACAGTGAACCCACCCAAGCCACAGCATAAGTCCAAAATCCGATACAGAGCAGGCTGGTCGCACACCGGGACAGGAACCAGGACAGATGACGAGTCCACTGCCAGGCGAAGAGGTTGGACGGATGTCACCAGTAATTCAACCCCAGCTATGGTTACCCCTTTTGGAACATCACCTTGTATCCAAATTCGAAGGCCCCGTCTGTCTTGCGACTGAACTAAATGCCAGTTTCCTTCGGAATTGTAACAAATTGTTGAAAACACCAATGGGAGCCTTTGTCCAATCTTTGGCGAATCCAGAACCGTTACCATGGCAAAAAGAGGAGACCAAAACGAAAACAACCCCAGGGGATTAGATCGAGCAGCCTCAACACTGGGAGGACCCTGGGCCAAGGCTTCTGAAAAATATTAGTCAATGGGAAGGATTATCTGATTATCCCATATATTATGGAAAACTATGAAATTCGTGTTCCAAACCACCAACCAGTATAGTTATGCCTAGTTGATACGTGTGATAAATCAGATTCCGTTTCAAAAAGTACGATCAAATCACCCACAAAAACTTCTTGCAGTACTCACCACCCTGTGAAACCATTGGAACCCATGGAACCTTCGGCCATCGATACATGGTGAGCAGCAACGGGAGCATGCAGAGCGCCAGAACTACGTCGTGGAGCAACACCAAGGAGTTGATCAACGCAGCCACCTAAAGCATGGCAACATGGCCATTTCAGCACGAATGTGGACGAACATGCTGAACTGGGGATGAGTCAAAACCCTGGTACCTAGTGAACCCCAAAATAGCTGGGATTTATGGATGTTCATCCCACTAAAAATGTATCTATAGGTATTGACCCATACCCAAGTATGTTGAACTATTCACTATTCGTGCTTGACTAATTCGAGAATGGGAAGTTGAAAGGTCTTGGAGCGTTGCCTAAGCTGACCAAATACTCGATGTCACGATGTCACTCCAAAAAAAATCATCCAAGCAAACGTTGATTTCCAAAGTCCCAAAAGCCAACTTGGAGGTATACACCTGCCCCAAACAGCCAGCTCTCAATGGTTGTCCGAAAATTCTAGGTGATGCTCGGCAGCATTATGCCTGGCCACGTGATGTGCAACAGGACCCCAAGACTTCTGCAGTTCTTCAGTCTGTGCCTTCATGAAGGGATACCTGAGACATGGTGCAAATGCCACAGGCAATTTTTTCACATCTCTAGCCCTGTACCTATGCATAACAACAGTGCATGTCCTGCATGTAATTTGTGGATTCACACATTCAAGCCATCTCTAATTCTGTCTCGGAATTGCTAGTCCTGATTGCTGCCTCACCAACATTCGGAAAAACTCCAGCTGTCTGGCGGTTTTTGGGTTTTTTGGGTATGCGCAGGGCAGAAACAACCCATCGAAAGCGGTCATGGGATGCCATGTAATGTGGTTAAAATAATAATAAGCCATCCCCCAGTCATCACCATTTTTATAGGTGGTATGGTTACGATCGACCATTCCCAGTCATGGGTGGTAAAAATGGCATTGTTTTAACCACATGAATGCTACTACCCTCTGGTTATGACTAACATAGCCATGGTATAGATGGCCCATAGAAATAGATGGTTTACCTATTAATAGCATGGTGATTTTTCATGATTTTTCATGGCTATGTTAGTCATAACCAGATGGTATATCATATGTGTCGGGATTCTGCCGTTTTTTCGTTGAAAGTCATCTTGGCACGAGATCATGTCTCGGTGACGGAGCATGAAGAAGGGCAACTCGATCAACTCCAAAAAGCAGACGCTTTCTACCAGCGAAAACCAGCAGGGACTAAAAAGGATTCAAAGAGAACTCAGATCGCAAGCTCAAGTGGATGATTCAGAGAAACTTAAGTGTGGCATGGGAAAGGAAATATCACTTTCGACTCAGCTTTGAGATCTTGGGACCCCCAGGACATCCCTCCAGGTCTCCCTCCAGGTCTCCCCACCTGTAGCGTGTAAGGAAGACGACAACGAAGCTGGGGAGTGTAAGAAGGTCACACAGCAACAGAGTGGACTGCTTCAAAGCCATCTGGTGAACTGGGCCCGGCAGCTCGGCCTCCTGTGACTTCGACAGACTACAGAGAATGTGGATGAACGTTTTTATAGGTTTTTATACCATTTAATCATAATGATCATAGTAGTGGACAGTATATCATAGTATGATCATAGTAGCTTTTACACAGTTTTGTTCATATTATGCAATATCATAGTAGTCATGATCAGAGCAATAACAATAATGATCGCAGTATAAGTAAGAATATAAACCGAAATAATGATTATGATGGCAACAACAACAACAATAATAATAAACACAATAATGAACACAAAAATCATAACAGTTACAACATGTGACACAGAAAAGAATCACAATACTGATTTGCAAGAAAAAAACAGTAGCAATAATAGTAATGACACCGTAATGGTATTAAAAATAGCAATACAGTAATAAAAAATAACAAGAATTAAGAATGAAAACAATTATCATAATATGTATGGAATGATATATTTGTATGATATATATATATATTATCTGGTTGGTGGTTTCAACCCCTCTGCAAAAATATCAGTCAGTTGGGATGATTATTCCAAATATATGGAAAAATAAAAAATGTTCCGAACCACCAACCAGTATATATATATGATATATTATTAGATATGACATGTATATCGTCACAGATCGTCACAATCATATTCTCCAGTCAATCCTCCGGTCCTGTGCAGTGAGGCCAGCTGCGCTCGGTTCACGGTCCACACGGTCACTGCACATGGCCGAAACCAAGGGGCCTGCCTGGGCAGATATCGATATGGCTACCCAATGCTAGTCATCTAATTTTAATGTAATCACATATATATATATATATATGTATATCCGCCGACCCCGGCCGACGCAAGGGGGAGCGCGTAAGGGAAGAAGATGGAAGAAAAGGACTACCTACAACAACAACAACAACAACAACAACAACAACAACAACAAGAACAATAACAATAATAATATAATAATATAATAATAACAACAACAATAACGACAACAACAACAACAACGACAACGACAACAACAACAACAACAACAACGACAACAACAACAACAAGAAGAACAATAACAAAAACAACAACCACAACAACAACAACAATAACAACAACAACGACAACAATAATAACAACGACAACAACAATAACAACAACAACAACAACAACAACAACAAGAAGAAGAAGAACAAACAAGAACAAGAACAACAACAACCACAAAGACAAACATAAACCCAAACAACAACAAACAACAATAACAAACAACACCAAACAACAACAAACAACAAGAAACAACAACGAACAACAATAACCATGACCCTTTGCCGGGGGACTCTCTTGGGTCCCCCTCCCACCGGTCACGTACCTCGATTCCTTGACTCCGGGGTTTTTGTTTCACCGGTGGGGGGTCCTTCCCGGAGTCTCCTCGAAGTACGTGGGGCTCCTTGGGTTGCCCTTCCCGCCCGCTTTTTTTTTTGGGTTCATGTGTTACGTTTTGGGCACGAAGCTAGGATTCCCGAACTAGGATCTAGATCTAGATGTAGGATTTTCTATAGGATATAGGATTCTCTAGGATTTCAGACGGGACGTTAGGCAGCACGAAAAATTGTGTTTTTCTAGGATGGCACCAATGGGTGTCAAGAACGTGGGCAAGAGCACGCAAAAGGTGCACTTAGCCAGTAGCTAGCAGCCAGCGCCAGTAGCAGCCAGCGGCCAGTAGCCAGCAGCGTACCAAAAAATCTAGATTTTTCTAGGATAGGATTTCAGACGACACGTTAGGGACTTTTTTGGCGTGGTTCTGGCACTCGCTCGTCCTTCAGAGCCCTGGTGTTTTCCCCCCCGGGAGGTGATTTTTTCGAACCTGTTTTACTGCTAGCAGCCGCCAGCAACAGAATCTATCGAAAAATTGAGTTTTTCTAGGGTGCCAGACGACACCAGTAGCAGCCAGCGGCCAGTAGCCAGCAGCGTACCAAAAAATCGAGATTTTTCTAGGATTTCAGACGACGCGTTAGGGACTTTTTTGGCGTGGTTCTGGCACTCGCTCGTCCTTCAGAGCCCTGGTGTTTTCCCCTCTGGGAGGTGCTTTTTTCGAACCTGTTTTACTGCGAGCAGCCGCCAGCAACAGAATCTATCGAAAAATTGTGTTTTTCTAGGGTGTCAGACGACACGTTAGGCAAGAGCACGCAAAAGGTGCACATAGCCAGTAGCTATAGCAGCCAGCGCCAGTAGCAGCCAGCAGCCAGTAGCCAGCAGCGCACCAAAAAATCTAGATTTTTCTAGGATTTCAGACGACACGTTAGGCAGTTTTTTGCTGCGATTTTGCGTCCTTTTCGGCACGAAATTAGGTGGTGTTTTGCTGTTTCGAGTGAGTTTCGAAAAAGATGTCTAGCTGTTGGTTTCTC